GACAAAAAAAAAAAAAAAAAAAAAAAAAAAAAAAAAAAAAAAAGGAGCGCATAGACACATGTGGGCACTAAAGGCCTAATGGCCAGCTTGTAGAGAGAGGAGCATCCCGGAAGCCCCAGGAGAGACGCACCACATGATGGCTCGGCCTCCTCCTTCCAGATAGCAGAAGGGTACAAAAGCCTCACCTCTGCCCAGGGAACGGCCCCATCTCCATACCCACAGTGTACATTTAAGTATGAACAATATGCACCTGACCTGGCACAAGGGGACCAGTGGGAATTCTGCTCATGCTGGAACTCATGCTGTTGGGGGGGCGGGGGGGGGAGGTAAGGGATGGCGGGGGGTTGTGGTTTGAAAATGGGGCTGCCTGTGTCCTCACCTGCTCCTGGAGCTCAGCCAGTCGTTGGGCTCGCTCCTCCTCGGAGTCATCAGTGGAGCTGTCACTGTCTGAGGAGCTATCGCTGCTGCTGTCACTGGATGAGGGCGGGGCCACAACCTTGGTGGGCGGTGGCACCGCTGGGGAGGACACAGCCACCACAGGCTCCTCGGGCTCATCCGGCATCTTGGCAAAGCGCATCTCGAACACATCCTGGAGGTGAGGGGTAGGGGGAAGCTGTGCCCGTGAGGGCTGCTGGGTGCCCTGGGGGTGCCTGGACTGTGGCCCAGCGTCACACTATCCCTGGCTGCTGGGGGTGACTCAACAGGAAGCAAAGAGGGCTGAGTCAATGGTGACCCCCTTCCTTATCACTAAGGCGAGGGGCTGGCAAGGGCCCCCTGATAACTCAACACTCCTCTTTCAAATCTCACTTTGGGGAGAAAGGTGCTCCCGACATGGCCTGGCACCCACTCCCTGGGAGACAAAGCCGAGGTAAGGACAGGTGACTCACATCACAGGAAAGAGCCAGCCCAATGAGGACATCAGTCTGGGGATCCTTGACAGATGGCAGGCCCGGACAGGACCCACAGAAAGAGCGCTCTGAGGCTCCCATCAGGTTGATGCTCATTCAGTCAGCACATCTCAAGGGAGCCTTCTGGACGGTGGGCCGGGCACCAGGACACAACAGTGAACAGAACAGGGGTCTTACAGTTCACATTCCCATAGGGAGCGGGTGGGGTCTGCAGTTTTAGAGTTCCAGAGGGAACAAAGGTCCCAAGGTGGGAGTGCGCCCAGCACAGAGCCCACAGCCAGTGAGGAGATCAAGTCCTCGCTGTAGTGGGCACATAACTGAGCAGGGCCATGCCACTGCCTAAGGCATCTCCAGGGTACACCAGAAATGTGAGAAAGTTATAGACGAGACATGGGATGCTGAGGATAGGCTATGGGAGACAGCCAGCCTTGTGAGGTGCAAGCAACGTGAGCAGAGACCCTGGGCTTACTGAGCATAGGATCCCACCCCAGGAGCTCCTGAGACCTGGTTTTCCAGTAGGATTTTGAGACCTGCTTTAAGCCTGGAATAAGTCAGTTAACACAGCAACTCACATGACAGAAGGGGGACCTTCCTCAAGTGTGAATCCATGTGTGAGAGAGCAGCATGGCCCAGAGGGGCTGTGGGGCAGAGCTCCAAGGCTGGTGTTTCAAACGTGAGCGTATCTGACAGAGCCCACCCTAGAAGGCTCTCCTGATGTCTCTGGAATGCAGCTTCAGGTTTCCCCGCCCCCAGGAAACTGGAAATGAGTGACCTGGGAAGCAGGGCAGGCATTCCACACAACTGTGGTACTGTCCCCTCCCCTCCAGACTACTCAGGTTCGGCCTCCTCCAAGGCAGGTTCTCCTCTCAGCAAGGTGCTGCCTGAACTCTGCTATCTGAGTGGTTTTCAGTTTAAGTTCTAGAAAGGCAAAAACTTTCTAATTTAATCAGAAATAAATCATGGAGCAGATGTGAGAGCAACAGAGAAGACAAACAGGAGGGATGACCAGATACCATTATCACTCAAGCTGCCAGGGAGAGGGGGCCTTCACACCAGGTGAGCAAGACCCTCTCTGCTCACAGTGCCCTGGATGTGGGCTGGCTCAGGGCCATGACTGACCCACATGAGCATCTGGAAGAGCCAGGCCTGCTCTTAGAGAAATGTGTCTAAGAAGGTGGTAGGGCATCAGGACCCCAAGAAGGGAGAAGGGTGGCAAGCAGGGCCAAGCCCTTGGTGCTGCTGGGAGGTGACACTTTACCAAGTGGAAGCTATCTCGTGCCACTGGTCTGTGAACCTAGCCCCCGATGCCAGCTGCCAGACAGCTCTACCCTTACCACAAGGACATCCCTGTTCCTGACCCACAGGCTGTGACTGTTGTAGAAATGGGGGTGGCACCTGCCCTAAGGCCTCCTTCCCCTCCCCAGCTGCTTTTGGCCCCTGCCCTCCCAAAGCCCCAAGACCAAACAGCAAGGAGCATGAGACAAAAGCCAGGTGGGTTGCCTGCCTCCTGGCTGTGCCCAGCTGAATGACCCATCATCCTCCCACCTGCACCAGCCCAAGTGGGGGACATACTGGGAACACACTCGGGCCTGTGTGCCAGTGAGCTAAGGGCTGCTGCAGAAAACCTTCCCAAGTGGCTGAGACTTGCACCTGCTCTGTGGCAAACAAGAATGATGTGCTCCCTGTCCTCAAGAGGTGAACACAAATAGTTGTAAAGTGCCCTAAGTGCTAAGGTAGAAACAGCAAGGGGTGGCAAAGAGCCTTTGGGGAACTTGAGACATAAGAATGAGAGGAGGACAACAGCTGCAAACACCCAGGAGAATGGTACAAAAGAAAGGTCAAAGGGGCGTGGGGGCAGACAAGAGGATGGTAAAACCCAATGAGATGCACCCAGGGCAAGTATGTCATGAGGGAGGACAGTGACAGGAAGGAGCAGTGAACACCAACAACCAGCACCCACCAGGGGAGCAGGGGCTCAGGGCTCCTGCACCAGAGCTGGCAGTGTATTCAGGTGAACTCATCTACTCTGCCTGGTGTGACATTACCTCCACCCCGCTCCAAGAATCTGAGCCATGTCGCAATTTTCAACATCAGAAAGAACACTGGTTTCAGAGAGTAAGTATCTCCTCTCGCTGGAACGTTGACCAGGGCCATCTACTCTGGGCTACATCAGATTCATGGAGGGAGCTCCCCCCTTCCCCTTTAGTGAAACAGAGATGCTCAGGTGCTGGGAGGCTGCAGTGTCCGAAGACTCCCAGGCAAATCAGCCTGCAGCTGAGCACAGGTAGAGACCCAAGGAGAAGGTGTTGCCCAGTCGGCCCCTCTTTGGCCATGCCTGGATATTGCTGTGAGGCTTAGCCATACCTGGGCATAACCAGGGCACAGAGGTGGGGAGTAGAATGTAGGCTGTGGAGGCACACGAGGTGCCAGGTGGTGGGGATGCGGCCGTGAGTGAACACTCAGATACACAAACACACTCTCACACACGCTTCAAAATCTTCCTACCTCTGGGATCTAATGCAGGACCCCAACACACTTTTCTCAGTTTAATTTTTTTCCTTGCCGTAAAAACCATTGCGTACCACCATGAATTTGCACTTTCTCTCAAAATAAAACTCTGATAATCCACATAGGTGCAAAACTTCCTAAATTACTCCTCACTTCACAATAGAACAGAGAGTAGAGGACAGTACCACCAGCAGCTCTGGGCCCAGCAGCTAGGCTAGCAGCCCTCAGCTCAAGCCACGCTCAGGCTCCCAAGGAAACCCTGAGCCCAGGGGCTCCTGACTATCTTTGTGACCACAGCTGCCAGGTGGCGGGATGTGGGTTTTCTAAAGGCCCAGAATTTAGAGGCTGGAAGAGGAATATGAAGTGGATCCTTTCCCGTAAAACTTTCTGGGTAAATCCCAGTCTTTGGGCACAGCCTAATTAAGAGACAGTAGGTCCCAACACCTCTTACTGAGGCAAACAAGGGCTGGGATTTTGTTACTCCTCCCCCCCCCAGTGGGCAGTCTTGTCACCTAAACCATGCTGATCCTAGAAAGCTTCGAAAGAAAGAAGAAAACACAGCTCAAAATGCTACAAAATACAGGAACTGCCTTCTAGAGGAAAAGTCCACACAGGGGGCCTGCCACGTCAACTGGGCTGAATCAGGCACCCCCACCTGCCTCCTGGCATGTTACTTTCAACAGCATGGAGACCCACCCTGCAAGGGACAAAGCAAGCTGGGGGCAGAGGCAGCCCCGTGCTGAGTGGCCCACTGTGCACTGCCCCCTCCCCCCACCTGCAGTGGACCCTCCTTGAGAGCAAGGACCTTGTCCCATCCAGCCTGATATCTGGAGTCAATGTTTAGAAAACAGGCTGCTTTGTGGCAGACACCTCAGTGTCCTTGCTATGAGCAAATCCTGTGTCTGGGCATGCTCATGCCACTCCCAGAAGGAAAAAAAAGCAAAAGAAACCCAAAAAAAGCCTTAAAACAGGCACAAAAATTAGGAAGACGAAGAGCTAAAATATATCAGAGAATATCTTCTTTCTTCTTTTTAAATAAAGTCGCTCAAAATAGTGATCTTTGGTGCTGACAGAGAACTTGTTTTGGTTTAGCTATTTGCATGAGGGCAAATAAAGGGCACGGGTATTAATCTGGGCAAATGCTATCCAAGTCCTCAGGGAGGAGGAGAGAGAGAATGGGGAAAGGGGGTGGGTGCGCCTGCCTGCCTGCCTGCCTGCCTGCCTCCCTCCCTCCCTCCCTCTCTCTTTCTCTCTCTCTCTCTCCTCTCTCTCTCTTTCTTAACAGTAATTTACTACCTAGTGGCTACATATGAGAATTGCAGAAAAGTTATAAACCCTGATCTGCTTCAAGGATGGGAAATGCAAAAGTAAATACTGAAAAAGGAAGCTTTGTGAAGAAAGCAGACAACATAGCACTGAATTAAAGAGCGTCCCCCTTCCAAAAACATAAAACAGAACTAAACAAAAAACCTCAGATAAAATAAAACTAATAAACAGCCAGTAGAAATACAAACCTTCAAGTCTGAGTGTGTGTTTAACGATAGCCAGATCCATGCCAGTAAGTTGTTTTTTTTTTAAACACCTAGAGTTTCAGGGCACTAAAGGCTAACCCAGACAGGCTGCAGTGAAAGAACAAAGGGGACCATGCCTTGGCTCCAACATGATGACATAGGAGACACTATGCTGGTGAATGCACGACAACGTGTGGAGCTAACAGAGCTGGAAGGCAGGTGGGCAAGCAGGGCTCAGGTGACCTCTGACAGACACCTACCCACAGGTCACCAAAGGCCTTTTGCAAGCCTCGCTTCTGGAAGCATTTCACAGATGGCTGAGAAAGCCTGGTTTGAGAAAGGCCCACCCAGGTGCCAGGAGAGGACCTGATGCAGGATGTGCAGACTGGACCTGTACCTTGTGACAGCAGGTGGCTCAGCCCAGTCTGCTTTGACCCTGAAAGCAGAAGTGCAACCTGGGGCCTTGGGAGAAGAGGCTGGGAATTTTTATTATGTGTAATTTCAAATAATAATAATAATAAAACAGATTATAACAGTACTAAATATCGACTTTTTTCTCCATAATTTTTAACTCCTCATTGTTCTACCCAAAGATATGTCTCTGTTTAAATTTGGGTATATGCTTTTCCTTTTTTTTTTTTTTTTAAATAGAAAAAAGTGGAGTTAGTTCACATATTTATGCTGTAATCTGCCCCTCCCTTCCACCCATGTGTGCACTCCACAGCGTACATCACCCAGAATCAACTTGAAGGGGTTACGAATCCCACCCATTAGTGCATCATGGCCACACAGAACATCTAGAAGCAGCCGCCCTGGAGCGGGAAGGTAAACAAAGGCTTTCAAGGCTCTGGTGAAGAAATGCCCACAGTTGGGCAGTTACTTCAGCTCAGAACTGTGACAAACTGTCTACCTGGCAAGAGTGTCCCTCGCCGACTTGAGACAGGTCTGTTTTGGAGAAGAGGTTGGGCCATGCACAGGACACGCACTCTTCCAGCCAAGGGCAACCGAATGCAGGGGGGTGGGGGGCGTTCAGTGGAACACCTCAAAATCCAAAATGCCCAAGACCATAACCAACCACCCTGCTTTAATTATAAGGAAATAATCCTAATGTAAAATTTATGTGTTATCCTGACTTTAGTCCACTCTTCCAAAGCAACATGGCATTATACCAAAGCAAGTGACAAAATCTGCCAAGGCCCATAGTGGCCTGGCCCACCCAGGACCCCAGCCAGCCTGCTACTCTGCAGGATCCCACACCCGGAGCTCCCCCAGAGCCTCACCTGGAGCTTGCGGGCCATGGCCACCACCTCATGGTCAGGAGGGTTGTATTTGTAGCAGTTGGAGAACATCAATCGGACATCGGCACCAAATTCCTGAGCATCACGGTACTCACGGGCCTCCAGTTTAGACTAGAAAGACAGGACGGGTCCTGGTTAGCCATGGCTGCCCCTGCTCCAATGGGGAGGTGGCAGCAAGGAGGGCTGCCTGTAGGAAGGAGCAAGTCAACTTCTCAATGGCTCTGGGTTTAACCCAGACCATAGTGGGGAGAAGTTATCACCCCAGTTCTCAGCACCAGGTGGACAAGGAGATACTCCAACAGCAAGTCTCAGGGCGAGGAACTGCCGTGCTAGCATCCAAACCCACCCACTGTGCCTGGCTAAAAGGCAAGTGGACAGAGAAGCCACAGAGGTAGTGTTTAAGCCAGAACTGCAAAGGGAGGGCTGGGCCCAGTTCTGACTTGGCCTGTACTTGTCCTGGTGACATCGGACAGGGCACTGGTCAAAAGGAACACAGCAATGTCCCCTGCTCTGCCCATCCCACGTTTGGGCAGGCTTACTCCACTCTCAGAAGGAGAAAAGTGCCAAAAGACTTAAAATAAACAAAACCAAAAAGGCCTCAGAATACTACAGTGAAAATGCCAGCACTTGTGTGCCCTTGTACTAAGAGACACCAAGGCCTTCTTCATGACATAGAGCCTGGCAAAGTCACCACTCCCCAAACTCTCCGGGAACACCTACCGTGTGAAGGTATCTACGGGCACTGGGCCTCAAGGCCACAAGAGGGCTCATCCTCAGATGAGGGAAAGGTCAGCATTGCTGTCTGTGACCAAAATGACCACATGCTTTCAGATGATGTCCCCATAATCTCCAGCAGGGGGCACTGGGCTTCCCTGGGCTGGTGAGAAGAGCCTAGACAGCTACTAAGACTGGGCCCTCCTCTTGGACAGGCCTCAGAAGTGCTGGCCTTCCTTGTCCCAGGGAGCCCGTTCCCCAGCTCCAGGGGCACATCCACGAACCTTGATTGTGCTCATGTCCATGGGGTGCTTGATGATGTCACAGTAGTCATGCAGGCCCAGTGCCTCCACGTCCACGGGCTTGTAGAAAGGCCAGGCGTAAGCTGCGTGCTTCTTGGCAAACATCTCCTTGAGAATGCCACTACAGCACTTGAGCTGCTCTGAGACCTTGCTGCTTTTATCTGGTGCTGGGTGCTGCTGCGAGTCGGGCACGTCCTTCTTCGGAGGCTTAACAGGCCGGCTGCTCTCCCGCCGGGGGCCCACCAGCTTGGTGGTCTTGGGCTCCGGGGGCAGTGAGGGTGGCTCGTGAATGGGGTCGATGGTGGTGGGGGTGGTGGTGTCCGCTTTCCTCTTAACCCCCTTCTTTGTCTGCCGAGAGCACAGGCGCGATAGGCACGGTCAGAGGCAGCGGCCGGCACAGCGGGCCCTCAGGGTCATTCCTGAAGCCAGGTCCTTTCTAGGGTCTCAACACTCACAGGGAACAGGGCCCAAAGGTAAATTCCACAGGTGAAGGACTGAAGACAGGGAAGCCCTGTCCCACCACTCTGTTCTGCAGCTGGGACAGGACCCTGCCAGTGGCAGGAGAAAGCACACAACTAAGTGTGGGATCTGCTCACCAGAGGCCAAAGAGACTTTTGAAAGCAGTTTCCTACATGCCAGGGACCTCTCCCACAGCCAACCTCTGTCACTCTGGCCACCCATGGGAGGCACATTTCAGAGACTATTTAGACAGCATCTGCAAATATGCAGTCTAAATTAGAAACAGGAAGGGGGGCAGCAACCCCCTGGGAGGTGTTACTCAATTATGGGATCTGTGGTGGTCAGCAAGACAGCAGCTTTTAGGCTGTACTGATTTAAACACAGCTTGATCCCCCCAGGTCCTAAATACCCACAAGTGCCCTGGGAGCCAGAAGCATCAGCAAGGATAGGTGACTGTCTTCTGTAAGCCTCACTACAATAGAGTGGAAGGGGAGGCAAGGGTCATCTAGCTGAGGTGACCGGAGCCAGCCAGTGGTCAGGCTGCGCCACACACACGCACAGGACGCTCACCTTCACAGGCTGTGGGGTGGCCGCGATGATGGGCGGGTGGCTCTGCACAGGCTGGGGGGCTGGTGCGGGCGGGGGCAGTGGCTGGGGGGGCACCGGCGGGGGCGTCTGCAGTGGCTGGGGAGGCACCACTGTCATGACAGGGGTCTGGACGATGAGGTCTGGGGTGACAGCGGGGAAGGGGTGAGGTGTGGCCTGCACGGGTGGAGGATTCTGCTGAGGGGTCTGGGTCTGCGGAGGAGTCGATGCTTGCGTTGTGTTTGGTACCGTAGAGACGCCAGGTTTTGCTGTCCCTACCAATCATAAAAGGGACAGGTGGTTAGATGCCATGTCTGCACGCCGGCTGACCTTGTGGGGACACTGCCACACGTGGCAAGCACACATCGGCGTGGGCATGGCACACAGTGTCTCTGTAACTATTTGTCTAAGAGACAGAACAGCCTAAATACCTTGGACCTCAGCCAAATCTGTCCACCTGTCCCAGGGGGCTCTGAGAGCAGTGGCACACCACATTCCACACTTCCTGGGGTGTCCTGGCTCCAAGTCCTGACTTGGGGACTCGGGCACAGAGACCCCTTCACAAGCATGAAGGCTTGAGCCAAAGGCACAGGAAATACACGCTGAGAGTCAGCACCAGGACAGTGACAGCAAAAAAAAGTGCTCCTTGGTGCTTTCAGGCAGAGCTGTCCTCATTCCCAGAAACACTGCCTTCTGAGTAAGCATTTCTGGCAGGGGGCCAGAATCGGCAGCCCTGGCCAAGGTTTCTGGAAATTGGCTACCCCCACCTCTCTGAATCACAGGGGGAGGCTGGACGGCTGCTGCCCTTCATGACCGGCTCAGACTGCCTCCCTGCAGTTGTGTGGGTGAGCCGAAACACACGAGGCCCTACATCCACCCCATGTAAAGACCAAACCCCTTGTCCCAGGCAGGGAGGATGGGGCTCCTTGGTCGTAAGGATACTGGATGCCTCTGGGCAGGTTCCATGGCTAAGGGGTGACCCTCAAGACCAGCTCTCCTTGGCTACCCCTCAGCACTGCAGGGGATCTAGCCAACCCCCTCTGCTCCCATGAAGCCACCACTTCCACGTGGGATAGGAAGTAACGTGAAAGCCCACTCCTTAGAGAAGCAAACAACTCACAGCACAGGCTACCTTGCAAACATCACCTTTCTGCAGCACGGAGCTGCGGATGGCAAGATGCAGAAGGCAGCTGTTTAAACTTTTCCTAGACAGAAACATTTCATGAGTAGGCTACTCCCTACCAGCTGGCCTTCGGAATCCTGTGTCAGGCTCGGGGGCAGGGGTAGGTGCTAAGATAGACAAAGAGGGCTTGACTTCAGAAGACTATCAAATAGCAGACATGGCTCAAACACAAGTGTATTAGTAAATAATTCAAATAACAAACCTTAAGGCTCTAGGACTGGAATATTAATTAAAACTGCCCTTGATCAGGTTAATTTATCTAAAATGAAAAACAAAGACTGACGATAGCACTGGTGGGATGAAGAATTCAAATAATTTAAAAATGCTTCGAAAAAGTTGTACTTTCTTTTTAACTGAAGTCCCTCAAAGAAGGCTAGGCCCAATTTTTTCTACTTTGCTGGAGGGTCACATGGTCATATGACCCTCTGGGCTGGTTCCCCTGATGAACCTGGCCTCACCATACCCAAACAGCAACAAGGCAGGGAGTGTATAATATAGTTGTCTTCCCACCACTCCCAGTCTCCCAGTGAAATTGGAGAAGGCTGGCAAAGACTAGGGAGAAATAAAGCCAATTTCCCTGCTTTACTGTTCCCCAGTATATCCCCAAAGCGGCTCACTGGGGCTTGCAGAAATGCCCATTTCACACTGCTTTATGGGCCCCCACTTTGCCACAGGCTATTTCAGTGTGAAGCTAATAGTGCTGGGGACACGGAAGGTACCCTACCTGCTTCTTTCCTCCCACGTCCTCTTCCTTTTGCCTGGACTATCATGATCTCAGTTTCTTCAGTGGGCAGTTCGTTGATTTTTTGCAAGAAGAGCTTCTCCAGAGCTTCTGCCATTAAGACTATGTCATCTCCAGGCTAAAAAAGGAGATACATGGGGTGAGGGTTGGAAAGCCCTCCCCACCTTTCTAGACAGAACAAGAGCTCCCCACCCTATGCCCCAAAGTGTGGAGCATCATATTCAGGGTCCTTCCCCAATCTAAACCCCAAAGGGCCCAAACATAGCTATCCTACCTGGCATCATGGAAGTTTCATATGCCTGCAGGTCTGCTGCCTCTCTAGTCTTTTAACCTCTGGCTTGAGAAACCATCCCAATGCCTTAAGTATCTATCAAGCACTGCCAATCACACACAGGGGCCCGCCTTGCACTAGAGCCTCCTTCGACATAATGCAACTTCACTAGAATTATTTGAATTACACAGGATTTCTTGCCACAGATACATTAGCAGGGCTCCAATAATGTTCCCTAGTATATCCCCAAAGCAGCTCACTGGGGCTTGGGGAAATGTCTACTTCACACTGCCTTATGGGTCCCCACTCTGCCACATGCTGTTCCCACTCAGCTCTAAATGGAGAACCTCATCTGTCCACATTTCCCTTAAACCTAGTGGTGAGAGCTGAGACTTTAAACAAATGATCTGGCTTCAAGGCACAATCGGGCTGAATGGTTTGGCTACTGGGTTAAGTGATGTTTATGTCTACACATAAGACCCTGTAAGGGAACACCTGATTCTATGGCCATTAGCTGTCAATGGTCACGTCCACAGTTCCAGATGCGGCGGGTGGGCCCCACTGTACCCTCTCTCACATTTAGGTTTCTGTTTGAGCACACCTTTGTACAACTACATCTTGGTAGGCTCCTTCCTGACACTTTGTGTCATCCAAACAGACTTTTTAATGTGTCGTCACTGTCCTTTTCATACCTTCTCTACTAGACATGCTCAAGAACCAAAGTCCCAAGTGTATCAGAAGCATATGCTTCCAGCTAACAAGGACAGCTTGGAAACATGACCAAAATGTTTTTGGCCTCAAAAGAAACACACCCAGTCACAGGCAAAACCAGCGGTCCCATTTACCTCTGCCGCCAATGGTCTCCTCTCGTTGGACTCTGATCCCACCTGCACCCAGCACCCCTGCCCAATGGGTTCCAGACATGCCCACCTCCTCCTTTACCTTCTCCTTCTCCATCAGCCCCCACATCTCACCTTGTTGTAGATGTAACAATTTGTAAACATAGTGTTGAAGTCCTGGATACATTCCTGAGCATTCCAGTAATAGTTGTTTTCCAAGCGCTTCTTTATTGTTCCCATATCCATAGGTGTTTTAATGATCTTATAGTAATCCTGGAGAGCAGAGAGAGCAAAAGGCCAATGTCACTTCTGCAGCCATGCAGTACTCACAGGTGGGCCTGCGGATGTCACTCCAGGTCACTCTACAGACATTCAGACCTAAGCTCTTCCATGGTATCAGTGAGCCATCTCATGGGGACCCCAAGATAAAGTGGATCAGGGAAGGATTACTAAAAGCTGGGTGGCAATTTAGAGAAAATATGTGCAAGTTTGCCAACTGTCCTGTCTGGGAACAGGCTAGGCTGTCTTAACTGAGATCTATGTTTTCCTCTATTTTTTTTTGATGTTAAAATATCCTTTCATTTTTAGTAAGTAATGCGGAAAGCATACAACCTTTAAAAAAAAAGTGGTTCTTATCTGGTAAAATAACCCATGGTAATTTCTACTTTCTCCCCGCTTCAAATTTTCCACATCAATAAAATGCAAAATCCTACAGAACCAGCATTCAAGCCCACCCATAACAACTGGATCCCTTGCTTCTTGTCACACTAAAGAACCAAGAAGCAAAAGCCTCTACCTTCAGTTCATCACACTTCCATTTCTTTTACCTGCAGTCTACCACTAAAGATCCACTAGTATCCAGATACAGTTCAACAATTAACCAGGTTAAGTGCCAGATGAGGAATCAAATGGACAGCCCTCACAATCCTTAGAAAAAACAAAACAAAAAACACCACACAACCCCCCCTGCCCCCTGCCCCCGACCCCCCACCCGGCAGCAGACCCACTCCTCAAACCTTCGGGTCTTACTCTACAAGTGCTCAACAGAAGAAGCCAGACGGCAGGTGTAGATGTCCTAAAGCCCTTCAAATCAAACTCTCTTCTACCATCATAACTTTTTCTAAATCTAAACCTATTCTAAAACCAAACGCTTATTTTTAAAATCAACCACAGGAAGAATTTGGGGACAGATCAGGCAGTGCCCAGGTTTCCAGGTGGAAGGACCACAGAGAGCCAGGCAAGAAGAGGGACCTGCATACAGCCAGCCGGCCCCACTGAGAACCACATTCTCTGAAGCTCCCACAATTAAGACTCAGGTGAAGTTATCAGAACCAAGTCCAAGGGGAAGCCTGACAGCAGAGGGGCAGGCCTATGCTTTAGCAAGCACCAAGGTCCTGCCCAGGAACAGTGGCGGACAATACTGAAAAGGTGAGCAAGCAGTGTGAGGTTCTGAGTTGCTCTGACAACCATGAGAAAGGAACAGAAGCCACTGGCATACACATAGGGCTGGCGAAGATCACAGCCCTGCCCAGCCTCAAGGGGCGACTGAACCAGACTTTCTACGTTACATTTGCTCTGACCACCTTTCCCAAGAGAACCAAGTTCAAATATATCTGCCCCAGGGGAAATTTAGATTTTATTCCACGGCCAAAGGTCTACTTAGAATGGTGTCAGGTGCTTGAATTGGCCTCAGTGTGTCAAAAGCGGTTCAAGGCCCAACAGGATAGTGGTTGAGGACAGAGTAGGAAGACGGAGGTGAGACGATGACAAAAGAGGATGGGGGCTGGGAAGACTGAAAGGGAGACAGGGGTTTAGGGGCATGATAATCCAATTGTACATGTGTTCTGAATGAAAGAGGCACAAGCATTCTAATAAGAATCCCAGCAAGGAACAGGGGCCAAAACACAGGTAAAGATCTGGAAGGCATCAGAAAACAGAAAAAGACTGAACCCTTTTTTGAGGTGGCCCTATTAATATTTCCTGGAGAAGGGGGTGTCCCTGGAAAACCGGGCATTAGTATGACATTGCTCCCAGCCAAAGAGCCCTGCCCCACCCCTCAGGGTTAGCCCCTAGCTCTCCCACCTCTCTTCTTCCTACATCAGAGCTGCTGAGGGTGACATCTAGTCACACTGTGGCCCCTGGAGAGCCTGTCCTCCACTTCAGCGAATGACCTCAAACTCCCAAACCCCTTGGCCTAACAGACTACCCACCCGTGCCTGTCCTGCTGGCTGGGATGCTGCCTTCTGAGGATCTCAAGCCCCCCAGTTCCCCTTAGTTTTCACCCTCTCAGCTCTCCTTGCCTCTGCACCCTCTGCACCTTCCTGTAACAAACCAACCCCTCCTTCCATCTGGCCCTGCCGTGCTTTCCCTTCAAAGCCAAGTTTCTTGAAATGATGGCTTCACATCCTCACCTTCTTATTCACACCGTCGCGAATCTGGTTTCTACTTCTGCATCACATCTTCCTAAGGTCACCAATGCCCTCCTAAAGGCCAACAGTAGGGTCAGGTCGTAATCCTCATCTGTTTGACCTCCCTGTAGTCTCTGACATAGAAACTTGGGGGGGCTGCTCTCTGCGGTTGATTCTCCTGGCCTCCCGCCTCCCTCCAGTGCTATAAGAGCTGTGGGCCCCCCTTGGATTCCAACCCCCAGCTCCTTCTCTCCCCATTCTTTGCATTTGCTCTGGGAAGGTCACCTCACCTGTGGACCCTGCAGGGCCCAGCCCATTAGCCCAGCTAGAAACTGGTATAGCAAGCTCTCCCAAGAGACTCCCCCCAGTGACGGGCTCGCTGCCTCTACTCCTGATTGTGGTCAATGATGAGAGTGACCTCTGAAGTGCAGATTTGGTGAGGACCCTTCTTTTGTTCCCATACCCTTTCCTCAGTCGGTTCGTGACCCAGACCTGCAGCTCCCCCTCCTGATTCTCTTCCCCTGAGTGCAAATGATGGGTATTCAATGGGCAGAGAGTACCGGCCAGCTGTTACAGACATAGCAACTTTCAAGCAAGGAGAAGGTCACACTGGTGTGTCCCTCCTTCTTGAAGCCGGAGGCCTGGCAGAGGCTGAGGATCCTATACACATGCAGCTCTAACTCGTAAACCCACATCTGGGTCAACTGTAACTGATTCCAATTCCCTCGCCCAGGTCAGTGTGTGGGATTTGGCAAACAGCAGAGGGCAATTTAAAGACAATTAGCCCTTGATGCTTTGAAGAAAGGAAAAAATTAACACATTTATCCTGTTTGCTCCCGAGGTTCAGTTAAAGGTACAAGTTGAGTTTCCAGAACCATTTGCTAGGAATGTGGGCAAATGGAAAGCTCTCAAAGGAAAAAGGAGAGGAACAAGGATACAAAAGAACAAAGGCAAGTGCAGTGTGGCCACAACAAGGCGGGCAGGTGTGAGGGGGTATGCAGAGGCAGCCAGAGGCAAAGCTGCACCCATACTCCCTCTCTCCATCCAGACCACCTCCATGTACTTGGCTCCCTGGGAGTTATTCTACTACCTTTCCCTGTCCTGTGCTCTGGGTGATGATGACAACACCAGTACCAGAAGAGATACTGCAGCAAGCCAGTCCCTCTCACAATCTGACCAACCACATCTGCTGAA